ATCATCCTCGTGAGTGTGGGCCCCCAGTGTTCCTGACTGAAGAGGGGCCACCACAAATGCTGGGTGCAAGACAGGACGGGGCCGTGCATTGCCTCAGTTCTGTGGTTTGACTTTCCTCCTGCTGCCTCTGTATTCAATCCTACGTGCCCAGTGGTAGAACTGCGCGTCTTTAGTGTGGACAAAACATGCGTTATTTTAACTGGTACTTTTGTGCCCGGTCTGTGTCGCTCCTGCAGGTGAATTTAGTGTTTTTTCTTTCGGTCCTTTGGCTTCTGAGAAAGAAACTTTCCTCCCTCAACAGTGAGGTGTCAACCATCCAGAACACGAGGTAGGATGGGCCGGGGGTGGGGTTGGGGGGGCCTCCTGCCACCCTTTCTCCCAGCCAGGCCCTGCGCGTCCCTCCTGCCCATCCACCCACAGAGGCACTCTGCAGCCATGCTCGGGGGCTAGCGGGGACACTGTAACCATCCACTGCCACAATTAACGAGGACTTGTATTAGCTGGAGTACAGGCTGGACCCCTGAGAAGGGGCTTCCCACTCCACCTTCCCAAAGAAGAGAGGAGGAGACGTTGGTCCCTCTCAGCCATCCAGGGCTGGTGGACAAGCTGTCCTCCTCAGAGTGACCAGGGACTCACACACTTTCTGTTTTGCTGTTCTGTCATCCTCTATGATGCTGTCCTTGTCAGTATCCCATCCGTGGGAAAGAGGTGACATAGAAGTCATCCCATTGGCTGACCTTGGTCACGTGATGATACCCAACTCCAAAGAAGCCTGGGAATTGTAGTCTAATTGTCAGCCATGTGCAGGGGCAGGGGGAGCTTAAAGGGAGAAGTCATCTAACACTGAAAGGAAAAAGAAAAGAAAAAAAAAAAAAAACAAAGAAAAAACTGGCAGTTTCCCCCACAGAACACAAGATGCCTCAGGAGTTCCATAGGTTAAGGTACTAAGAGCATTTTTGACTTAGTGATATTTTCAACTTTCCGTGAGTGTATGGGAGGCAATCCCCGTGAGTCAGGAGCATCTCTATTATAAAGATACGGGAACTGAGTTACAAGAAGATAAGGTAACTTGCCTGACCTCCCACAACTAGCAAGTGCTGGCTTGAATTTAAGTCCTGGTCTCACTTGAGTCCTCACTACTAACAACTACACTACAGGGCTGTCTGTGTCCATTACAAGCTTTTTTTTTTTTTTTTTTGCAGGGTGGGGGTGCCAGGGATTGAACTCAGGGGCACTCAGTCACTGAGCCACATCCCCAGCCCTATTTTGTATTTTATTTAGAGACAGGTTCTCAATGAGTTGCTTAGTGCCTCGCTTTTGCTGAGGCTGGCTTTGAACTCGTGACCCTCCTGTCTCAGGCTCCTGAGCCGCTGGGATGACAGGCATGTGCCACTGCACCAGCTCCATTACAAGCTTTCTGACGTGACCATTTCTGACCCCTCTCAGGATGCTGACCCTCAAAGCCACAGCTCAGGTCCTCATCCTGGGCTGCACATGGTGTCTGGGAGTCCTGCAGGTGGGTCCCGCTGGCCAGGTCCTGGCGTATCTCTTCACCATCATCAACAGCCTGCAGGGCTTTTTCATCTTCCTGGTCTACTGTCTGCTCAGCCAACAGGTAAACACTGAGCCCTTTCTCTGTTGTTTTAAAACTGTGTTTTAAACATTGGAGGCATTTACGTTCCATGTCTTTAAATTTTCACAAGTCTGTCATCAATATGTGAACACACCCTGTCATTTATCTACTTTAAAGTGCTCTTGAAGGCAGACATAGAAAGTAGATGAGTTATTGAGTGGGCTGAAGAGACTGGGGGAGAGGATAGGAGGGGTGGAGGAGGAACAGTGGTTCTTGGATAAAGCTCTACACATGTTTAAGATGAAGGCTACAGAACTCTAGGAACATCCTAAAGCCATGGGGTTGAACACTTTAAATGGATGGGTTGTGTAATAGGTGAATTCTATCTCAGAAAAACTATTAACAAAAGCAAGATGTTATTGATTATAAGATCCCCTGATTTGTTAGTAGCTTTTGGAAAGCAGATGGTTGCTCTATCAGGGAAGGAGGTTTTCCTCCAAGTTTCCCACCACAAGAGTCAGCTCATGCTCACAACGGGCTACGTCAAAAATCTCAGTGGCATGAACACGAGAACTTCCTTTCTCCTCCTCAGGTCTGCAGGTGGGGTGGGGTTCAGTGATCCCGGCTGGGCTCGGCTTGGCTTGGTTCCTGGATGCAAATCAGATTCATATCTGCTCCTTGGACTCATCCTGAGGCTTAGGCAGAACTGGGAGCAGTTCTTCGGCATGTTTTTCTCATAACAATGGCAAAATTATAAAGAGGTGAGGGGTACCCTGCAGGGCCATTTTAAGCCTGTGACTCTGCTCACATCACCTCCGCTGATGTGCCACTGGACAAAGTGCGTCAGGTGGCCAGGCTCAAAGCTAACGGGGAAAGAACGCTTCACCCACCCCAAGGCTGAGACAGGGTGTACTGCTTCTAACTAGGAGTGAATAAAGCAACCTGCCACACCACTTGACACCAGTTCTTCAACCAATTTAACCAAGCCACGCTGATCCTGATCAGCCAAACCACAAAGACCTACAAACCTGAGAGTGAGAAAAAATAAATATTTGTTTAAGCCACTGAGATTTCTTGAAATTGTTTGTTATTTAGCAGTAGCTGACTATTACAAGTGTGAAAGCTGGAGAAAAAATACACGGTATAGTCTCCATGTTAGCATACTGGTAGAATTCTACATGGAGCACTCATTCTATTTTACGGAACTAAGTGTCATCTGATTTCAGAATTGGAAGTAAAGCCAATTGGTATCTTTAAACCCAATTGCTGTAGTTTAACCTTTGATGCTAATTCAAATAAAGATGAGCTGTATGTGCAAAACAAACACCAGATTTTAAAACTTTTGTACAAAAAAAAAGGAAGGTCCTCCCTCTCTTCCTCCATCCTCCCACTTCCTCACGCTGAACACAAAATCAAACTTGGAATGGAAAAATAGCTCCTCAGGGATAAGAAACTGAGCTTTCCAGAGAGCAGACATTCCCTGGGGAGCAAAGGCTAAGCACAGGGTTAGAACATCCACACGTTACTAATTGTCCAGGCACAAGAATATCTTGTGACTTGTAGGACACTGAAAATACCTTAGTGAAGAAAGCAAATTTCAGAGGGCTCCATTTTGTTCATATAACCATATAAACACTCACTGGTTATGTTATTTTTGTGCACTCACTTGTGTGTTTAGGGCATATTAAAAGGGACAGTCAGCAATGTCTGGAGACGCGTCCCACTGTCACAACTAGGAGTGGGTTGCTATGGGCATCTAGTGGGTGGAGGCCAGGGATGCTGTCCACACCCTCCAGTGCACAGGACTGTCCCCACCAGAAAGCACAATCCAACTCAAGATCTCCAGGGTGCCGCGGTTGGGAAGCCTTGTGCGGCAGGCGCTGTCAGTGGCCTTCCCACAGCCCTTTGTTCCTCTCACCACGGGCCTGAGGTTTCCGGTTACAACAGTTATGACTTGGAATCTGTGGGCTTCTTACTGCCCAGGAGGTGTGAGTGGCCCAAGCCTGGGACAAGGTGGCGATGCCAGAGAGCAACGGCCCTTGAGAGCAGCCCTCGGCCAGTGACTGAACAGAGCTGGTGGATGAACACCCCAGCTCCCTCCCCTCAGGTGCTATGACTCTGGATTAGGTCAGTCACGTGTCTCCGGGGGCTGCCCAAGGGAGCTGAGCCCCAGTGGAAACATCCTGGATCATGCATCCTAGGGACCACCCCTCAAATAAACTCCTTACACTTAAACTTTTGTTCCAAGTTCTAAATTCCTGGAGTAACCCAAATAAGAAAGATGGTTTCTGTAATATGAAAATATATCTATTGTAGTAAAATATGCACCACATAAAATTACCACTTAAATAAATGTTTTGAGATAGGGTCTCACCATGTTTCCCAAACTGGCCTCAAATTCCTGAGCTCAGGTGATCGATCCTCCTGCCCCAGCCTCCTGAGTAGCTGGGACTATAGGTGTGTGCAACACCATGTGTAGTTTTTCCATCTGAATAATTTTTAAGTGCACAGCTTATGGCCATTATATTCATAATGTCATATAACCATTGCCACTGTCTCTAGAACTCTTTATCAGGACAAACGGGAACTCTGTACCTATCAGATAGTAACTCCCTATCCCCTCCTGCCAAGGTCCTGGCAACCACCAGTCTACTTTATATCTTGAGTAATCTGACTATTCAAGGTACCTTATGTAAGTGGCATCGTACAGTCTGTGTTCCTCTGTGTCTGGCATTATTCACTTGGCATGAGGTCTTCAAGGTTGAGCTATGAGTGGTGCATCCAAATATCCTTTTTTTTTTTTTTTTTTGGTAGCAGGGATTGAACTCAGGGACACTCGACCCCTAAGCCACATCCCCAGCCCTGTTTTGTCTTTTATTTAGAGACAGGGTCTCACTGAGTTGCTTAGCACCTCGCTGTTGCTGAGGCTGGCTTTGAACTCGTGATCCTCCTGCCTCAGCCTCCCCAGCCACTGGGATGACAGGCGTGCCCCACCGCACCCAGCCAAATATTTTCTTCTAACGGCTGAATAACATTCCCTCACATGGTTATGCCACATATTGTGAAATAGATCTCTATCTTCTTACTGATTCACCAGCTTTTCTCCTATTTTGTCATCTTAACAAAAACCATCCTGGTATTTCCTTTGATATGTCAGGTCCGGAAACAATACCGAAAGTGGTTTAGTGATGCCACAAAATCAAAGTCTAAGTCTGAGATACAGACGCTCTCCAGCAGGCTTGGCCCCGATTTAAAACTCAGCGAGTGAGGTAAGTGAACCCATGACTTTCTCTAATGTTTTGCCACCCCGATACCCCAAACTTCCTCTCCTTGTCTTAGCACAAGTTCCCTTTGAAGAAGAGTATGAGGAAGAGCACTGTGCTACTCAGCTTTCTGTGACTGTGACAAAATACTTGAGATAAACAGCTTACAAAGAGGAGAGTTTTATTTGATGGTTTCAGAGGTCTTAATCCATAGTCACTTGGCCCCATCACACTGGACCTGTGGCAAGGCCAAACATCAGGGTGGGTGGGGAGTACATGGTGGAGCAGTGAAGCTCACCTTGTGGCAGCTGAGAAAGAAAGAACGAGAGAGAGGAGCTGAGGTCCCAACAGACCTTTGAGAGCATGCCCTCAATGACCTAACTGCCTCCCATTAGGCCCCACCTCCTAAGGATTCCATCACCTCCCAATAGCACCCCAGACTGGGCCTTTGGAGGACACTAAAGGTCCAGACCACAACACGATCTTTCCTGGTACCCTAGCTTGAGTTCCTCATTCCCACTGAATTGTTCTTCAGTGACTCTTCTCCATTCACTAAGACTCTTCAGCTGACTTTTGGAATCTGTGCAAAGAAAAATGGGTTAAATATGTCACCAGCAATGCTACCATTCAAGTATATCCCACAGGGGGAAATTGACTTGCACAGATCAGTATCCCTCAAAACACATACTGTCCCACAGAGAGATGGATGTGAGCCCAGGGAATTGGTGGACCATTGAAAGGGCCCCAGGAGAGGGGGACTGACACCACCCAGATGTATGGAATAATGGGACCTTCCTAGAGGGATGAAATGGTCTTGATAGAAAGGTAATACAAAAGAGAGCAAAACAATATAGTTCCTACCTTCATGGAGCTTAGCTTTTTCCATAGACAAATATAGCTTTTCTCCATAGACAAAAACCAGCCTCCAGGGAATTGAAATTCTGTCTTGGGCTGTTTTCTGTTGCTATAACAGAATTACTGAGACTGGGTAATTCATAAAGAAAATAAGGTTATTTCTTATAGTTGCAGAAGCTGGGAAGTCCAAAGTCAAGGGGCTGAGAGAGTCTTCTTGTTGGTGGGGACTCTCTACAGAGTCCCACAGAGGTGCAGAGAATCACATGGAGAGACAGAATAAGTGTACCAAAGCCACTCCCTCAATAACCCACAATCCAATAATCCATTAACCCACAAATAGATTAATCCGTTGATGAGAACAGAGTCCTCATGATCCATTCACTTTACCTCTCAAATGTTCCACTTCCAAATACCATTAGCATATGTCTTTGGGAATTAAGTTTCCAACATACACATTCTGAAGGACAAACATTCAAATCATACAAGATAATATGACTGAAAAATCTGTCACAAAGAAAAATTCTTCTTCCTGGATTTTTGAGACGTCCACCCACCGTAGGCTAGAGAACACCATGCCTGCCCTAGGATTCTAGATGGTTCCATCCCTGCCTGGTGGCTGGAGCTGGCTTGCACTCACTCCTGCTCTTTCTCCATGTTTGATTTGCTAACCCTTAATCCACCATTAATCTAAAAATCTTCTGTAGGGGACCTTTTTTTTTTTTTTTTTTCAGAACAAGTGAAGAGATGATACTAAAACTAGAACATTCAGCTCCATATGGAAGATCCTGCCCATGGATCTCGTTGGCATCATGGGGAATGAAATGTGACCTTTGTAAAAAGGAATAAAGTTGAGGCCCGGGAACTCATTCTGCATATCACTGTGGGAGAGGAAGTGTTTAACCTTTACTTCCTGAAGCGTGTGCTCCTCGTGATACTAAGCTTTCAATAAACGTGTGTTGAATCGTATTTCTCTGTGTTGCGGTGTGTTCAGTCAATGCCTGGCCCTGGGTACCCAAATCAGGGTGGTTGCAATCACTTCCTTGACTTTTTGCAAATGGGGAGACCCCTCTCAAGGCCTTTCCTCGGGTTCTTACTCTGACTCCTCCTAAACCTGCTCTTTAAACTCATGTAGCCCTTTAAACTATCAACTTCTCCCAAAGCGTCTCATAAACAAGCAGCTTCTTCCTGGCTTCACCTCTTTTTTATCCTGCAGAGGTGATAAAGGTAGTGATGGAAGTCCCTCAACTTCCTGACCCCAGACACCCCTTACCACACACCCCATTCGCCTCTCCTGCGTCAACACTCACACTCAAGGCAAAGGAGGCCCTTCCCGCTCCAGACTGGCCCCTCCTCCACGCTGTGGTCTCCCCTGCCCCCTTCTCCTGAGTCTCACTTCTTCCCCACCCTGGGGCCTGGGGGCGCTGAGATATGCTAAAGAGAGGTCAGTAGGTTTCTCTGTAAAGGGCAAGATCAATATTCTAGGCTTTTCAGGACACAGGTTCGCACGTAGGTGCACACATAGCTTATGGTGTTCAGTCCTCCCTCGGTATCTGCAGGGGGTGACCCCAGTACACCCCATGAACGCCAAAGTCTGCAGAGGCCCAAATTCCTTGTGTCAGATGGCATTGTGTTTGCATAGAACCCATGACTTTGAACCATCTCTAGATTATTTATAACACCTAATACAAAACAAATTCTGTGAAGGAGTTCTTATGCTGGGTTGTTAAGGGAATAATGATAAGATTTAAAAGTCTTCGTGTTCAGTGTGGTTGTCACTTTTTTCTGAATGGTGTTGATCAGCAGTTGGTCGGATCCATGGATGCAGAACTGGTGGCTATGGAGGGCTGCGTGGGAAGAGATGGGTGTACGTAGCCCTTCAGAAACTGACAAACTACTCCTAGCTCATTGAGGGGAAAAAAAAAAAAAAAACAGGCTACAGGAAGGTTTGGGCTGTGTGTTAAACAAAGAGAAATGAGAGAGTCTGGGAGATGGCCAGCCAGCTTGAACTCTTGATCCTCCTGCCTCAGCCTCCTGGGTCGCTGGGAGTACAGGTGTGTGCCGCTGCACCCAGCTGTATATGGACTTAAAAATTTGCTGGAATAATAGATTTTACTTCTTCTCACCACAAAAATAATAATACTAAACATCTGAGGTAATGCACCTGTATTTAGATCCATGCAGCCATCCCACAACATATACATATTTCAAAACGTCTGTTGTACATGATAAATACATACATTTTTACTTTCTTTATTTAATATATACAATTTACATCAATTTAAAATAAATAAGTTAATAGTTTCCAAATATATATGAGATCTGGGACCCTAAATTATTTTGTACCTCCAATAAAATCTTAAGAAAAGGTAAAAAGACTATAAGGAGACTTCAGTCCAGTGCCCACAAGTTCTAGTCAACTAAATTCGAAATCCAGCTTCTACCGAACGTGGGTCACTTTCACACCGAGGAGAGGTTGACACACTGGTCAGTGGAGTCACTGCCCATCGAGTGACGGTTGATTTGGAGGTGCTGGCAGGGAACAGCCACACGCACGGCGGGAGGAAGGGGGCAGGGAAACCAAGGAGCCTGGTAGGATCCAGGGTACAAGGCGTGGTTTCAAGCAAACTACAGCTGCCGTCAACTGGAGCTTACTCCCTCCAGGGACCTCCAGGACCTATCTGGAGCTCACTCTTTGGAGGTGATTCTCCTGGGAGATGAGGGAGCCCGGGTAGGTATACACCAAGTCCAGGCTTTGGTTGAAAGCTGTTCCTGGGAGCATTTTTCCACCCTGAAAATTCCTCCTGGCCACATAGCCAGTCAGATGACTCTCATGGCAGATGCTGGCTACTAGAAGTCACTGAAAAAGTGAGGATCAAGGAGATCCAAAGGGCACGACCTCATTCCCTATGCACACGACTCCGTTCCTGAGCTGGGGGCAGCAGCGCAGGTCTGTAATCCCAGCGGCTCAGGAGGCTGAGGCAGGAGGATGGCGAGTTCAAAGCCAGCCTCAGCAATGATGAGGCGCTAAGCAGCTCAGTGAGACCCTGTCTCTAAGTAAAATACAAAATAGGGCTGGGGAGGTGGCTCAATGGTCAGTGCCCCTGAGTTCAGTCTCTGGTACCCCGCACCACCACAAAAAAGAAAGAAAGAAAGAAAGAAAGATTCCATTCCTGGGCTGAGGATGTAGCTCAGGGGTAGAGCACTTGCCTAGCATGTGAGAGACCCTGGTTTCCATTCTCACTCACACACACACACACACACACACACACACACACACACACACGATTCCATTCCTGACCCACCACTTACCAGATAAGAGAAGTTCTAAGAACTTCAGCAGAAGTTCATGGACTACCTAAACGTAGGTGGAGTTCATAAGAATTCTTTCTTCCCTGTCATTGATAATGGTAATTCCATCTTTCCTGTTGCTCAGACTGAAAATCTAGGAGTCATTCTTTCCTCTTTCTCTCACCCGCCACCCCCGACATCTAATCCATCAGCACATCCTAAAGGCTCTCCAGAAGTCTCCAGACCGTCACAGGTGGCTCCCTGGTCCTCATCATCAATGTAACAACCCCAGAAAAGCCTCAAAGACAACCATAACCTCACCCAGAATTCAACCCCTAGTCTCCTCTCCCGTCCCAGGGTGTCAGTTTCCAACCACATCACGCTGTTCAGTTTCCCAAAATAACCAGCTGAGATCAGAGCTCCAAGGTCACGGTCCTCGAGGATGATTCAAGTTCACAGACAATCCCTTTGAAAGCAGCAGACGCTGCCTTTGGGTAAACCCTGACTGTGCCACTTACCCACCGAAGGGCCGTGGGTGAGCCACAAGACCCCTCTGGGCTCGGTTTTCCCCACTATCGAGTACGGTCGCTAATTATCCTGATTCACAGTCATGGTGAGGCTTAAATACGAATGACTAATTCATGCTTGATAAACTATGACTATTATTATTTTTAATTCACCTAATCTTTGCTCCTCTGGACCCAAAATGGTAAAAGGAAACCTCTCTTCCATTTGCCTGTCTTCAACTAGACCGTTGTGGGAGTTGTGGAAGGGCCAGCACCCCCGTGGGCCCCCACACCCCCGAGCCACTCAAGAGATGTGACCACAGCCCCCTGCTTCTTCTTTTCTTAACACAATATTTTGGAGGAAACTCAAGTTTCCTCTTCTGAGATACGGGAACTTCCCCTGACCCTCAGATAAACAGTCCCTGGGACCCAGGGTCCCCTGGGTGAAGGACTGAGAACAAGACACCTGCCCACTCTGCAGGCTGTGGACTGTGCGGGGAGCCGGTGGGAGGGTGACAGGTAGAGACAGCTGTAGGGGTAGGAGGAGACCAGAACAGAGGGACAGGAAGTGAAGCGGACCCCCCCTCCCCCACTTCCCTGCTCTCCTCAAAGCCACCTTTCTGCTCTCAACCCAAACAGGAAGGACTTTGCTACTAGGTAAGGGCACTCGGGCGACCAAGAATTTGATCCATTCGATTACAATTCATGGGTTGTCCAAAAGGACCACCGAGTTGAGTTCCTTGTGCTCAGACGGGGACAGCGCCAGACCTCAGAGTGGTGTGTTTGGGATGTCAGAATGACCAAAGGGTACTTCTGGTTCTTGATGGGTGATTTGCTTTCCCAAAAGATACATATGTTGAAATCCTAACTCCCAGTTCCTCAGAATGTGATCATATTTGGAGGTTAAACAGGTAACTAAAAAGGTAATCGAGGTAAAACGAGGCCCTTAAGTGGACCTTAATGCAATATGACTGGTGTCCTTCTAAGTAGAGGAAATTGGGACATAGACACCCATGGAAGGGAGACCCATCAAAGACACAGGGAGAAGACAATTATCCTCAAGACAAGAAGAGAAACCAACTTAACTGACACCCTTGATCTTGGACTTACAGCTTCTATAACTGTAAGAAAATGAATTTCTGTTTTTTAAGCTGCCCAGCCTCTGGTATTTGGTTATTGCAGCCCTGTGAACCCAACACCATGGGCCAGGACTACACAGTGAAATCACATTTTGAGAAGCCCTAACTTTGCCAGAGTGAATAGCCCAGGAAAGTCCACCCAGATGTGAGTGAACTTCTACACCACCAAAGACCTTTACGACCCACAAACAGCCCCGGGCAGAGGTAGACAGACAGTGCCCATCACTGTACTGTGGGTCTGACCAAGTCACGGACTGACCCAACTATACTGTGTGGAAGTGGTCTTGTCTGTCTAGGAGTTCTATGGGCCAGGTCTTGCCAGAGATCTGATTCTGTCACATAGCTTGTGCAAAATGACACCCAAGACGTTGAGAAAGTGAATGGTCAAGGCTCACCGTGCCCCCACGGCTTCCCAGAAGTGGGTCTGCATCAGCCAGGCGGTCAAGGAGCCCAGAGCCTCCTGGTTCGGGGGAGCCAGGGTGTTTTATCCTGGGCTCAACGTCATGCTCAGAGCCCCCCAGGTTCAATGTCAGACTCAGCATCGCTTCTCAAGATCAGGAAATGGATGAACGTCCTCCACCTCTCAGAAATGGGAGGGCACCTACCACCAAGTCCCCGGCGTCCCTCCAGCTCACCCCTCTGCTTGAACCGGAAGGCCTGGCCTGCACCCCGGGGAGCTGGCCACGTCCAGCTGTCAATCACGTCTTCAGCATACCTTCTGTGGACGGCAGGGAATTCTCACCCCCAGCAGGGAGGCGCTGGGCCACGCACCTCTAGCTTCAGCCCCGGGGGGTTCAACAGGAACATTTCCGCTCACAAATCCAATATGTAGTTTTGGCACAAGAGAGATCGTTCCAGGTGCCACCGTTGTTCATGCTGGCGCAGTCCTCCTCGTAGATGTTGTTGGGCTCCTGTGGGGCCCAGAAACTGGAGGGAAGAAACAGTGGGCAGAGAGAGGCATGAGCCAAGGGACCCCAGGGGGTTTGCGGGTGCTGAGACTATGCTGCGTGGTTCTGCAGTGCCAAACGCACCCCCCCGGGCAGCGGCCACAACCCTCAGGATGGCCAGTCATGGGGACACACGCCTGGGATCCCGGAAACCCAGGAGGCTGAGCAGGGAGGAGCACAAGTTCAAGTCCAGGCGGGGAAATGTAGCAAGACCTTGTCTTTCAAAAAAAAAAAAAAAAAGGTGTATCAGCGGAATGGATGAGCAGGTGGGGGAGGGGAGGAAAGGGAAGCCACTGGGAAACGAGACGGATAGAATCATGTGACACGCATGTGTGACGATACTGAAGCCCTCTGGGATGAATCATCAAAGCGCACCAATAAATATTTTAAAAAGAAAAAAAAAAATAAAAGAGGGGGTAGAGCTCCCTGGTAGGATGGCCCTGGGTTCAATCCCCAGGACCCACAAGACAGAAAAGCTATTGACTTTAAAGAAAGGAACGTGGTGGGAGAGGAAAGGCCATCGTGGTCCGAGGGTCCTTCCATCTGAATCACTCCTTGCCTTCCAGAACCACCTGAAGACGCCACATCATCCCCCCGCCCCCAGCTCACCTGTCCTACCCAGCCCCGCCGGTCATGGTCACAGGCAGCCTCTCCCACCTCCACCGCCCACCCCGGGCCTCCTGAACCAGCCTCCTCTGCCTCCTCCACTTCCAAGGACCCCTCCCTCTGCACACCCCAGTGGGATCCTCCCCACCTTGTAGGAATTGCGCTATTTGGTGTCACACTGTTAAAACAGGGTCTGACCCGGGGACTCGGGTGCATGGGGTACCTGAAGGGATGTTCTACAGAAAAGAGAAGGAGCAGGAGCCGGCGGCAGACGGAGAAGGAGGAGCTGAGCCAGGCTGTGAGCTCCGCTGAGCACGGCTTCCTCCTGACCTGGAGCTCGAGATGCCAAAGGCCCCCTAGGGTCACCCCACGGAAGCCATCTCTTAGGATTTCATTGGCCCTGGGCTGACCCCCATGGGAGTAGGGGTAACCTCTTAGATGAGCAGCCTCCCATTCAGCTGAGGACACATTTCCAGAAACATCATGACGGTGAGCTGTTGGCAGCCAGTGCCTCCCGCTGGGGGATGCAGGCACCCCAGGACCTGAGCTGTCCCCACAGTGCCATGCCACATCATCTCTTAGAGAGCCGCACCTCCTATCAAGAATCTCTAGCTAAAAAAAAATCCTGCTCATCAACTCGACAAATCCAAATCTTCCTCTCAAACCTGTGGCCAGTCTTCTTATTTTTCCAGCCATTAACCTAGAGGCTTGATATATTTGCAAAGTTGTGCTAAAAGGTTGAGATGTTGCAATGGAGGAAACCTCAAAGCCACATGTTAGGATTCGTCTGAAATGTCCCCCAGAGTCTCACACAGTCAGAGGTGACGTGATCGGGTCACAGGGGTCTGATGGCATTGGCGGATCAATAACTTGAGTGGGTTATTGGGAGGCGGTGGAAACGGTAGGAGGCTGCACCTAGCTGGAGGACGTAGGTCCCTGGAAGCAGATCCTGAGAGGACTTGGCTTGTCCCTGGCCCCGCCTGCCCCCTCCCTCCTTCCTGGCCACCGTGAGCTGACCGTTTTCCTCTGCCGTGATCTCAGCCCCAGAGCAACGGAGCCGGCAGACATGGACCTAACCCTCTGCAACTGAGCCAAAATAAATCCTGTCTCTTCCAAGTTCTCCCCAGGCATTTGTCACGGCAACAAAAAGCTAACTCAGTTCAGGGACCAGAAGCCCTGTCATCATTTAAAAAAAAAAAAAAATCACCCTTGTAGTCCATCCCGGAATTCTAGAGAACTGGGGTCCCAGACCACAAGGACAACACACGCAGGGAAGAGGGGCTTCCCAGAGGGGGCACCAAAAAGATGACCAGGAGCCCACATACCCCTCCAGTCAGGGTCCCCAGGTCCCTCTGTGCCAGGCAGTAACCTTCAGTTGGGTGCTATGGAGACCCTCGAGGGCTTAATGACAATTTACCAACCCAAAGAGAAATTTTTCTGTATTTAAAATCAGGATCCCTGTACCAGGAAGAGCCAAAGGCTTCAGCCATAAAAATATAAAATAATAGAGTCCTATTGTTTGTAGCAACATGGATGGAACTGGAGGATAACATGCTAAGTGGAATAAGCCGGGCACAGACAGAGTACAGCACGTCCACGTCACTTATGGGGAAACTAAAAAGTCGATTCTAAGAGAAGAGAAGTACCGGCCAGGACCTGGGAAGAGGGACGGGGAGGGAGGGACGGAGAAGGGGTGGTCACTGGTACAGGGGGAAGCCAGATAGAAGGAATGATTTCTAATGTTTTCTACCATGAGGGACTAACTGTGGTTGACAATAATTAATTGTATATTTCAAAACAGCTAGTACAGCCGGGCGCGGTGGTGCACACCTGTCATCCCAGAGGCTTGGGAGGCTGAGGCAGGAGGACCACGAGTTCAAAGCCAGCCTCAGCAACCTAGGGAGGCACTAAGCAGCTCAGTGAGCCCCTGTCTCCAAATAAAATTCAAAATAGGGCTGGGGATGGGGCTCAGTGGTCGAGCGCCCCTGAGTTCAATCTCCGGTGACAAAAAAAACACACAAAGAAACAATGAATATTTGAGGTGACAGATTTGCCAGCTACCCTGATCTGATCCTCACACGTTATATATGGTGTTGAAATATAACACTGTGCCCCATAAATATGTATGATTACATAACAATATAACTAAATATATTGTATCAATCAAAAATAAAAATATAGTTTTTAAAATTTAAAAAAAGAACCAGGTCCTGACACCCTCAGCCATGCTCCCCACCTTCTCCTCTCCCCATGCTCAGGGCCCACAGAAGAGACAGACAGACCCCAGGAGCCATGGACACTTGCCTTAACGTGACAGGGGACCCATCCAGCCACCTCCAGTCCCCTTCTCGGTTCTTGTCATTCAGCCCCAACCAGTACACCCGTGGAGAGCCGTGCGCCTTGGCCACGAAATTCTGCAAATACAAACTGCATTCAGCCATCAGTTCTCCTAATGGCCTCGGGGTGAGAGCCCCCCACGTCCTCTCCCACACATCTGTGGCTTCAGAAGGCTGCCCCTGGTCCCCACGGCAGGCAGAGGGGGATCAACACCCTCCTGCTTCAGCACGTGGCGTGAGGGTGACCACACAGCTCCTCGGGCAGGGGGCCACTCTGCTACAGTTTGCATGTGGTTTTTCTCCCTAAGATCCAGGTGCTGGGAGCTTGGTCCCCCACATAGTGGAGTTGGGAAGTGGGAAACCTCTAAGGGGAGGGTCTGACGGGAGATGGATAAGTCATTGGAGGTATCTGCTGGTCCTGGGGAATGGTTTAGTTCCCAAGAGAATGAGTTGTTGTAAAAAGAGCCAGACTGGCCCCTCTCAGGTCTCTGGAGGCATCTTGTCGTATGATCCCTCCCTCTCATGCTCCACAAGTTGTGATGCAGTCAGAGGGGCCATCACCAGAGCCAGCCCCGGGATGTTCGGGACTTTCAAACCTCTAAAACTTGGAGACAAATAAAACTCTTTCCTTTATAAAATACCCAGCTTCTGGTATTTTGTTACAACAACTGAAAATGGATTAATGCACATCTTGTGCCTCATTTTCTCCATTTGTAAAATGGGATGATAACAGGAGCTACCTCCTTGTAGGATAAGATTTGCATGCAGATAAAATAGGTTAATGTTCTTAAAGTGCTAACACAGTGACTGGCACCAAACAATGACCGTGACCTCTTAGCATTTAATATTACAGCATTTGAATAACGTTTTTTAGCAATAGGAAACGATAGGAGGTTTTTCCCCTGGTGTTTTTCCACCCACTCAGAGCCCTAATCTGCATCTAAGTAGAGAAGTTCATGAAGAAAATAAGTGGAGGAGGAAGAGAAGCAGGGGAAGGAGCCTCCTGGGGCTGGTATATCTGGGCTTTGGGAAGAAAAGGAAGGATTTATGTTGAAGACAGAAGATTGGGAAGAACTATGGTTAAAAGCAACTCCTCTCCAGAAAAACTAATTTATGGTGAAGGAAATCGTATCCGTGGTCGCAGATGGTGGAAGGATTAACTAGATAGGGGATATGAGAGGACTTTTCAGGGTGGTAGGAACGTTATGAGTCTTGTTTGATTGGCAGTGACGTTTGTCAAAACACAGGCTTCAAATATGTGCATTTTACAGTATGCAAATCACACTCCCACCTCGAGTCTCCAATATGCAGGGAGGGGAGATGGCAGTGGCAAGAAGTTTTGAATATGCAGACAAGGTCTAGAGAGAGAGGAACCCTCCACCTCATCCCCAAGGACCCCCGGGAGGTGGCAAAAAAAATTGGGGAACTCTAAAGAGCAAAGGCTACCTGGACAGTATTTCCTAGTAAAAACTCCAGGGAGGTTTCAAGAAACCAGAGGCCACGGGTGGTGGTGCACACCTGTAATCCCATGACTCGGGAGGATGGCACATTCGAGGCCAACCTCAGTAACTTAGCAAGACCCTGTCTCAAAACTTAAAACTTAAAAAGGTCTGGGGATGTAGCTCAGTGGTAGAGCACCGCTGGGTTCAATATCACGCAAAAACATAATGCTCTGATGTTTATGATCAAGGTCATGGACTTTGAAGACAGCTACCTGAGCCCAAATCCCAGCTCTGAAAGTAGTTTTGAGTGACCAAAAATGAGTTGCTTAGATGTACTATGCTTCAGTGTCTTCAACTGTGAAGCGAATAAATCGCAATTTTACCTAATTGTTGTAGTATTTGGGCTCAGAGTGGGTGGAAAATACCATTAAAGTTGTTTACAAATATTCCAACTTTCCTTCTGGATACTCACAGACGAGACCTTCTTTCCCTATCACCTCAAAGGGTAGGAGTGCTCATGTGACTTGCTTTGTGAGCCTAAGTGAAAACTCGGAGATGATTTGCCTCCTGCGTGACCACTGCTGGGCTATGGAGATTCTCTGTTACTGCAGCAGAACCTTACCTCTCCTGGCTGATACACGGATCTGTAGAGTTGTAAAGACTACATATGCTAATACATGAAAGTCGTAAGGCGTTTGGAAGACAGGCACTATCTTAGAGAGAGTCATTCAGTTTCCATGGAAGGGATAAAACTGAGATTTGCAGAGGTTGAATAAACACCATCAGCACTTGAACTCAGATAAAACACATCTTCTTCCCTCTCACATGATAGTGTCTCAGCAAGAGCCTGTAATTAAGTTTAAATAACTCAAAAAGAATTACAAGTTCTCTCTACCCTGGTAAGAAAAGGAGGGGTGAATCCTGGAAGCAATGCAGAGTGGTTCTCAAGGGTTCAGCAGGGACAACTCACGTGCTCAGCAAAGGAATTGATGATGACCAAGTGAGAGTAACTCTCCTGGCAAAACTTCCTGGCTTCGTCCCATGACTTGGTGCTGGGAGAGAAGTAGTAACACCTGCCCTCAAAGGGGAGCCAGCCTTCAGGGCAGGTGATCCTGGTACAGTCTGGGGACAAGAGAGATGCTGTCAGAAGGCTCCAGCGTCTGTGTACCTAGTATGCCACGGACAGTTGTTCAGGCTGTGCCCTTCTCAACTCCAGTAAGCACCGTTCTCATCACTTCACTAAAAACCATTTCCATGAAGTCCTGCAACCTGCTGCTCCGGCCATGTCCCTCATCTCTGGGTGGTTCCCCAAACCCCACTCACCTAACAAACCCCGAAGTTCCACCAGAGACTGGTTGGTATCTGCTCTGACACGGTCGATGTCCTTCTTCAGGCCAGCCAGCCCCGCCATGCCGGTCACTGTCAGGAGAGATCAAGGGTTGGGAACCCAGAACCACAGCCTCCTGCCCACCCACTACCCCCCACTGACTGCTCCTCACTGCATCCCGGGTCTCCTGGGAAATGGCAGAATTCAAAACCCACGTTCTCGGGGTCCAGGGGTCCTAGAGTGGCTTAGAGGGGGATCCACCCTTGGGGACTTGAGGGTAAAAGGAGAGGTGGGCTTCCTGGAGACGCGTTGGACATGAGGATGGGATTGGGATAGGGATGGAGACGGGGCTCAGGAAGAGGGTGAGTTGGCAACTGCCAGGGGAGGAGGGAAAACAGGCAGGCAGGGGCGTCCCTCTTCCTTTAGACTCTTCTGTGACGTCCAAAACTCTGTATTCATTAGTGATGTCTGACTCATGACCCCCGTACCTGCGCTGTCCAAGGGAAAGTCAATGTGAACCAAGCCACGTGTTTTTTTGGGTTTTTTTTTAGTTGTAGATGGACACAATATCTGTATTTTATTTATTTTTATGTGGTGCTGAGCATCGAACCCAGTGCCTCATGCGTGTGAGACGAGCGCCCTGCCACCGAGTGACGGCCCCAGCCCAAGCCACGTTTTTAAGTCAAAAAGAAACCGGTAAAATTAACTTGGATACTGTTTTCACTCGTCCCTCTGTATCCACACTATATTATCATTTCAATCTGCAACCAGCATTTTCAAATTATTGGTGGGATAGGTTCCATTCTATGTGGGAACAAGTCTTTGAAGTCAGTGTGTGAGTTACGGTGACACCACACATCCCATTTCAGGCCAGCCACATTTTAAGTGCTCAACAGCCACCTGTAGCTTGTGGCTGCCATAATGTCCAGTGGAAGTCTGGACACACACACGCACAGGCACACACACACACACACACACGCACGCACACGCACGCACACACCCTCCACGGGGAAAAGCACGTGACAAGGGTCATGTCTGATGTGCTCACCACGCTGCCCTCCGGCACCCAGCACAGCGGCCGGCAAAGGGAGATGGGGTTGGGGTTGGGGTTGGGTGTGGGGATCGTGCGGAGCTCAGCGCGGGGAGCGTGAGGAAGGATGGAGGCACTCACCGTTCACCTGCCAGGCCGTCTGCTGAGAGGTCAACATCCCCAGCCTCTCCACCACCTCCTGGTCTATGAGGAAGAGTCCAGCCTGACCCCAGGTCCTCCCGGGCCCCGCCCCCAACCTCTCCCCACGGCCCATCCTGGCCCTACTCACACTTCATCAGGGTCACAATCAGACTGAGGCAGCTCAGGATCAGGGACGTCACCAGCAGCAGCAGACACAGGTACACCTTTAGCCTCTCCTCCTGGTGACACCCAGGACTCCTGGACTTCGGATGGAGCCAGGGCACTGGAGTGGCTGGGGGGCGGGGGAGGGGGGTGGATGGGGACAGAGAGTCTCATCCTGGTGCTTCAGAGTGTGAGGAAGGGACCCTGAGCCTTTCCCCAGGAGCACAGGGCAGAGGTGTGTCGCCCTGTCTACAGGACAGTCCAGAGACAGCCAGCCAGATGAGCCTCCAGCAGCTCCTGCCCACGCCCCTCCCACTCAAGGCGGCCTGCGGACCCCTGGGACATAGAACACGTCCATGTCTCCTCCAAGTCCAAAGGGACTTGCTGAAGAGTCCCCTGCAGACACCCTGGCTCCCTGGGGGCCCTGGCCTGGACTCCCTGGGAGGAGCCGAGAGGTTTCTCTGTCCCAGGGCCTCACCCTGGACCTGACTCAGATACACTGGCCGCCCCGAGAGGGGAGGAAGGGAGCCGCCCGGGGGAGGGGGACTCACTGGTTTGGGACGGCAGGACAGGAGGAGGCTCCCGATCAACGCCTGGGAGAAAGGAGGAGAGAGGTCTATGCAGAAGTTGCCAGAAGATTCTGTCTTCCAAGATCAACAACCGCAGTCAGGATGGAGGGGTTGGGAGGAAACCCCCTGGGCTTCCCCCTCAGGATTCCTTTTTTTCCCACATTTTTTATTGGGCATGCAGTTGTGCAAATGGCGGGATCTGCTGTCCTGTCGCAGGCGCACACAGTAGGACACCTGATCTGGCCGACACCCCCCAGCCCCCCCACTGCTCACCCAACTGATGAGACTTGCGCGGCACAGGCGGGAGGTCCAGGGCTGGAAAGACCAGAAAGACAAGGGTCATTCCCAGGAGAGTCTCCCCCCGGGAGCAGGAAGACCCCGGCCCGCGGCCTCACCTGTCATCCTCGGGGGCTTGCTAGGGAGAGGAGGGGTCTCCGATTTCTTTCCTGGGGAAGGAGGAAGGTTGCTCAGGCCCAGGTGGGGCAAAGCCACAGGGCGCCTCTGGACCCCCAGCCCCACTCACCTGCTCTGGGAGGCCGCGGGGGAGCCGTGGAATCTGAAGAAGAGAAAGTCAGAGTCAGGGTCGGGCGAAGGGGAGGGACAGGGTCACGGTGCAGAGACCGACCCCCTGAACCGCCCGGGAATTCCTCAGATAAAAACTGAGAAGTCCGTGTCCCGGAAACCCCTCCGTCCTGGTGAGCCAGGACAGTTGGTGGCCTCAGAGTCACAGGGAGAGCGGAAGTGAGGACGGAGTTAGGTGGGGTTGCATCTGGCTCTGGGATTGGACGAGGGCCAAGCTGGGGGTGATCGTGGCCCCACAATGGGTGTGGGAGCAGCGTGGTCACTCAGGACAAGGTCAGGGTACCGCAGAGTCCTCGCCGGGTTTGGGAACAGGTTGAAGGTCACGTTGTGGTTGGGCGGGGATGAGGGGATGTTGCATTTGGGAGTGGAGGTGGGGAGATGAGGAGGGGCCATGTTGGAGGGAGGGGTGGCCCTGAAGGCGAGAATGTCGCTGGTCTTGGAGGAGGCGCTGAGGACCGTGTGGGCACAGCGCTGGCGTCAGAGACGAGACCGTCCCACGGTACAACCCAGCCCACCTCCTGCCTCACACGGAGCCACTCACGTCCCTGGACCTCAGAAACGGGGGATAGAGAGGCCCATTTTGCATAGGACGGCCACTGCCCAAGGACACCAGGGTGGCACTGCCCAAGGACACCAGTGTGGCACTACCAACCCCAGAAACCTCTCATGGCCTCCAGTTCCCTGGAGGGACTTCACTCAGGGACACCTCCCAAGCTCCCACATTTCTGTCCACTCAACACACCTTCCCGGCTGGTCACCCACCACACCCAGGTGCCCTCGTCGACTCAACCCCCCGGCCATGGGGCAGATCCCCCAGGTCCCCTGGGATTTCTCCGCTGCTTCGTCCCTTCCCTCTCGGTCGAGGTGGTGCCCAGAGCTGCAGGGCACAGTCCCAGTGCGCCTGCCATCGTGGCACCTGGCCTGGGGTGGGTCAACCGAGAATGACCAGGTTGCTACAGTGTCCAGTGACCGACCCCTGGGGCCCTGCTCCCTCATTCCTGAGAGAGCCGTCTCACCTGGCTTGGGAGGAAGGTCCTTGTAGGGTGGCGCCATGTTTTCATAGTCGTCACCGTCACCATCAGACTCCTCCACTGTGGTCCCTCCCAGAGAGAAGGCGAGTCAGAGTCCAGCCACCCTCCCCTCCTCCCTCGGGCCCTGGTCTCTGGCTCCAGATGGCCCCAGGGTGGGGATGCGGGGTCCCCACCGCCAGCCCACACCTGGTAAGGGCCCTACCTGGTGGGTAGTGGCGCCCAGTGTTGGTGTACAGGGTGCTCATGGCTGCAGAGGACACCGGGAGAGGAATGCCCGGTGCCCCGGCAGTGCCTGTCCTCTATGCTGCCTGCTCGGGCGTCCGGGGCCCCTCTCAGTTCCCCTTTCTTTAGAAGTCAAATGCATGCAAATCCGTCTTGAGCAGAGCCCCTGCGGACCCCATGCCCAAGCTGCTCTCTCTCCCCAGTTCAGATCTCCCCAGGACGGTGACCATGGCCCCACAGCTGGGCGCAGACAGAGCGCCAAGGCCAGGTGGAAAAGTGGCCATCTCCTCCCTCCTTGGACCTCCGACCTAAACAGGAGGGGCAATAAGCCAGTCAGGGGACACCGTGATGAGCCAGAAAAGGCTTGTTACACTTTATTCTCAATAGTGACCGCGTCGTCACTCGATAGTGACCTGGAGGTGGTGATGTTGCAGCCAGACGTGGAAATGACAGGGGCTAAGTGCGCCCACATTCCATAATGAAGTGCTAGGACCCCGCACCAGTGATCTGCAGCTGTGTCCTAAGTCACCCCAAAACCTAGTGACTTAAAACAACCATACGCATGTGTCATCTCAGTTTTTGTGACTTGGGGATCCAGCGCAGCTCAGCTGGGTGGCTCTGACTTGTCGTCTTTTGCAGGATGCAGTCTAAACGTTGCCCAGATGCCCGTGTTCATTAGGCGCTGGTCACCCGAGCCGAGAGGTGGGATCACCCGAGGTGCCCCCTCCCCAGCAGATGGATGCACAAAGAAAAGACCGGAGTCTGCGTCCCTCAGCCGTGGAGAAGAAAGGGATTCAGACATTTGCAGAAAAATGCGTGGACCTGGAAGGTCTCCCAGCAGGAGGAACAAGCCAGACACAGAAGGAGGAGCACCTCTCCTTCTCTCTCAAAGGCAGAAGCTAAAAAAAGTCAACCTGAAAGTGGCCCAGTGATTTCTAGAGATGGGGAAGGTGTGGGGTGAGGGGAGGGTGGAAAGGGGGCGAGGTGTGCTCAGCGGGTGCTGGGTGCAGGCTCGGAAATACCAGGCGGAACCTCAGCCGTATACACAATTCATACGTCTTAATAAATTTTTTTCAGAAATTTTGAATCTAAAAATAAATGAACAGATACTTTGAAAGGGACCTCTAAGATAAAGCCTTAGTTGGGATCCCTGGGAAAAAGGCATGATGTGACATTCCATAAAACTTTCTTATAATGTTCAATGAATTCATGGTATAAATACGATATTGATAACTAGCACTAGTTCCTTTTTTTTTTTTTTTTTTTTTCCTGAGCTGGGAATGGAGCGGGCCTTGTGCATGCTAAGCAAGCACACACTACCACTGAGCTGCAGCCTCAGCCCCAATAAATAGAACTTTAAATAGGACTTTTAATTAAAAATAAAAGACGTCTCCTGGAGCAGCCTTTACCTGACAGTACTGGAGATCTGCCTCCAGGACCGTGCACCCACCTGGCTCTGGACAGGAGACCTCCATTCTTCCCACGAGTCTCTCCAAAGGGATGACTGGGTGTCCCCACAGCAGAGTGGAGGCTCAGGTGGAAGCCACATGCCTAGCCTCACAAGTCACACATTGTGTCTAGTCTGTGCTCAGTTTACCATGTGGACCAGATCTGGGTCATTGTGGGATGAGACTACACAGTGCACAAATGCCAGGACGTGGGGGTCACTGGGTCATCTTGAAGCCTGCTACCACAATCATACGAGCTGAATCTGCAAAACCTGTAAGTTGTATGTGAGTCCCGATGCACAGCCTGGACAGGACAGCGAGAGAATGGATTTTAGTTTCTTTTTCTTGTTTTTGTTTTGCAGTGCTGGGGGTTGAACCCAAGCACACTCTACCGTTGAGCTACATCCCCAGCTTTTTTTTTTTTTTGAGACAAGAGTTTTACTAAGTTGCCGAGGCTGGCCTCAAACTCATGATCCTCCTGCCTCAGCCTCCTAAGTAGCTGGGATTATAGCTATGTGACACCACGCCCAGCTAAAAGTCCCCCAGAGTCTCCTGTTAAAGCCTTGGACCCCAGGTGGTGGAGCTACGGGAGGTGGTGGAAGCCGTAGGAGGTGGGGCCTTGGTGAGGGAGTGGGTTCTTTGTCCCCCACCCTTGATTCCTCAAGGAAGTGGATTCTCACACAGACTCAAAGGATTCGCTCACAACTTGCATTTTTAATTAGGAGGAAAGCTTCCTTATACAGATGGTTCCTGACACAGAGGTCCCCGATCCCATCTTTAGACGCTTCACTTACTGACTTCAGCAAAGTCCCTTTTGTCCAGATGAGGTCAGTTCCAGTCTCCTCGGGGTCAGGACTTAGACGGTTAATCAGGGGAGACACAATTCAACCCACTATGAGGTCCCAGGACTGAATGCTCGGGCACACGGGATCTGAGTGGACCCTGGAGATGACGGTAGGAGCACAAGGAGTGCAGAGAAAGTGGTTCTAGAAGCTGGAAAAAACTGGAGAACGGGGGGGGCCCCCCCGCAGCCGCCAGGCCTTGGTGTCGGCCCCGGGAACCGATTTGGGTCTTTTGAACTCCAGAACTGGAAGGAACCCAATTCTGTTGTTTAAACCATGGAATTTATGAAACGTTATTTCAGTTCATCTTAGGAAACTAAAACACACCCCAAAAGCTAAGACCCGCCCCCAGGACCCCTCTTTCGGGGCTTTCCACTAAGAGTAAAAGGAAACGCAACCCAAACTGGCTTAAACCACGAAGAAAATCCTGCAGACGTGGGTCCGAGCTAGAGTTTGAGTTTCGGAGCCTCAAAACAAGAGCAGCTCAGGAGGCCGAGGCAGAAGGATCGCGAGTTCAAAGCCAGCCTCAGCAACAGCGAGGCGCTAAGCAACTCCGTGAGACCCTGTCTCCAAATAAAATACAAAATAGGGCTGGGGATGTGGCTCAGTGGGCGAGTGGGCCTGAGCTCAATCCCAGGTACCCCCCCACCCCAAAAAAAAAGTGGCTTAAACACAATGGAATCTATGTTCCACTAAGAGTCTCGATATAAACAACCTGGTCTCCTGATGGAAAGTCTTCCCCAGCACGTGGGGACGGGGTGGCCCCACAGGGGCGTCAGATCAGCTCTGCTTTCCACCGACAGCGCACCCCAGGGGCTGGGCTTTCCCCCGTGGTGGGCCTAATGCCACAGGCCTCCCCACCTGCCCATTCTACGGGGGGAAGGAGAGGCTTGTCTGAGACAGGAGAGCCCATCTGCTCGGCCAACCTGCTAAGCACCGCAGAGCAGCAGGCTCCAGATGGACGTGGACATGTCCAGGGGTCAGGCAAACGGGTCAGAAGGACGGGCTGATGGCATCTCCACACATCAAGGGAACTCGCTGAGGCGGCTGGGCCTGGAGCAAGGCAAGCCCAAGAAAGGCTAGTGGTCCTACTGTGTACAGACGGTGGACGCATGGCCAATGCCATCCCTCTGGACCCGGCGCACAGTAGGTATTCGGGGACTGGTAGTGGGATCCAGGCACATCCCCTGAGTCTAACATAAGGCTTTGGACCCTGGAGGACCCCAGCTCTGCCCCATTCATGCTCTGTGACCTCCGAGGAATAGAACAACATCTCTGATTGTTGGTCTCCTAACATGTCCAATTTGTTCATTCATCCATTCAACAGATATGTATCGACCACCTACTAAGTATTAAGCTGTGTTCTAGGCACCAAGGATTCATCCCCAAACAACAACGATATCCCTACCGTCAGAGCGGTAACCGGAAGAAAGAAAGTGAGTAAAATAAATTACGACATGGTTCAGTGAGGGAGCATTTTTCTCACATGCACAAGGCTGTGTTTAATCGTCAGCACTGCAAATAAACGAATAAATAAATGAGCCAAATATCTTTAGAAAGTTATGTTAGTCATACATAGAAGAAGAATAAAGAAGAAAGCAGGAGAAGGAAATTGGGGGTACACGGGGGTCTCGATAAAAAGAACAATCACAGAACTGAAGTCATGACAAGCATAACTTCATAAACAAAAATAACTGGAAATCAGGGAGAGCCTGGGAAGGGGCAAAGGGAGGGGGCGGGAGGGGCTGTGGGGTAGGAAAAACGGTGGATCCAGACGGACATCATGTCCCTAGGCACGGGTGTGACCGCTCGGGTGGTGCGTGTCTACACCGTGTCCAACCAGAGCATTGAAATGTTGCGCTCCACTCGTGTGCGATGAATGGAAGTGCATTCTGCTGTCACGGGCAACTAAGTAGAACAAATAAAAAATCTTTAAAAAACTGGAGATCAGTGACAGCGATATCTGGGAATCCCCCACTGTTTGCAGATTAAATAAACACCCACGGGTCAGAGAGAGTTCAGAAGTGAAATTTAAGATATCCTGAATTGAACGGAAGTGAAAACATCTCAAAATATGGGGACGGCAAGGCTGGGTGGGTCATTCAATGGGGGTCCTGGGTGTGACCCCGGCGTGTGTGTTTGTGTAAATACCACGCAGCTCAAGCAGCCCCAGGAGGAAGATGGATCCCACGGCTGTGGTTTGAAGGTGTGTGTCCCTCCAAAATTCGCATGCTGGGTACTTAATCCTCTTTGTGGCGATACTAAGAGGTGGAGCTTTGGGGGATGTGATCAAGCCATGAGGGTTCTGTGCTCATGGACAGCATTAATGCCCTTATGAACGGGGGTACAGAGAGCTGCCTGGCCTGCCACCTCTGTGGCCATGGGAGTGCAAAGCATTGATCCCTCTGGGGGGTGGAGACAGGGCGCCCTCACTGGAAGCAGAGAAGATGCCCTCCCCAGACACAAGTAAAACCTCCTGTGCCTCCTGCTCGGATTTCCAGGCTCCAGAACCGTGGGAAAGAAATTTCTTTGTTGTAAATGACCCAATCTCAGGCATTTTGTTGTAGCAGCATGAATGGGCTAAGACGATCGTTAGATGCTTACATTTATAAAAGCCGTCAGGTGCAATCGCAACAGCGCTCGCGTCTCCCAAGGGCAGGAGGTGCGAGCTATGGGTGGCTCCCATCTCCCGCAGCTCCTCCTGCAGGGGGCAGGCACCCCAAAAATAAAAATAAAATTTTTAAACACCCAAAATGGGTCCCAGTGGCAGACGCCAGCATTGGCCAGCCCCAGGGTA